CAGTTTCCTATCCTTCTGGCACCCCTATTATGCAAAGGTTATTTTGTTTCGTGTTGTCACTTGGGCTCTCCTCTTGTTTTTTAAGTTTTTTTTTTTTTCTCCTAGATGCTGCTCTGTTTGGGTATTTGTTTCCTACCTTGTCTTCTAGCTCACTGATGTGGTCCTCTGCTTCTTCTAGTCTACTGTTGATGCTTTTTATTGAATTCTTTATAGCAGCAATGTCATTTTTCATTTCTTCTTGGTTCTTCTTCATTTCCTCTTGGTTCTTACACATATTGTTGAATTTGTCTTCCATTCTTTTCATCCACCTTATGACCATTTCTCTAAATTCTTTCTCTGACATATTGCTTGCCTCCATTTTGTTTACCTCTTTTTCTGGTGATGTCTTCTTTACTTTTATTTGTGGGCTATTTCTTTGTCTCCCCATGATCTCTCTCCCCTTTGGGTATCTGGTTATGTAGATCTCTTTCTCCAGTATTGATTGAAAGGCACAAAATACAACACAACATACACAATGCACAAGGCACTGAACACAAATGTATTCATAGTAATAACTCCAAATAAAGGTGAACACCAGAGTAAAGAGAATTAGGGGAGAAGAAAAAAAAAGAGTTCAAAATAATATTGAGAAAAGGAAATAAAGTAAGAGAGACAAAAAAAGAGAATAATAAAGAAGGAGAGAAAAAAACTATTTATGTGGGGAGAAAACTCCAAAGGAATAACCACTAATCCCAAAAAATGCAAACAACAAACACCCAGAGATGAATGCAAACTACAAACAAAAGCTAATAACAAGAAAGGAGAGGAAAAACAGAAGCAAAAAACAAACAAAAATGAAAAACTTAAAAAAAAAACAATATCCACAAACAAGCACAAAAACCCCCAATCTAATCAATAATCAAGCAAACAACAACAATAGGACAGAGAGAAAGCAAGGCAAAACAAAACAAAATAAAACAAAAAACCTAGAACAAAACAAAACAAAAAAACAATAACAACCACGAAAAAAAGGGAAGAGAGAAAAAAATTTGGCAAGTGAAGAAAGAAAACAGAGAAGTATGTATGGACTTAGAGCAGGGGATCAGAAATTAGATATATAAGTAGGGTGAATTTTTAACAGGGTAAAAAGAAGGAATAGCGATAATCTAAAGCAGGAATAGGGTAAGAGAAACAGGACAACAAAAGGGGAAAGTTAGGTAGAGAGTGTTAGATAAAGGTAAAGTTGAGATAGAGCAAAATTTTGCTAAAGGAAAAATGAAAATAGAATGCACAGCACTAATGCCAATATAAAATAAAATAAAGAGAAAATAAAATGACACTTTTTTAAAAAGGTAAAATAGTAGTAGTAATAATACTGATTAAAAATAAAATTATAGTAATTATAAAGGTAAAATCAAGTGAGGGAAAAAGAAAAAAAATGTTTCCTAAGTGAAAGATGAAAAAATAAAAATGTGCAGTAGTGAAGGTCATTCACTTCCTCTTTTCTCTCGCCTGTTTCCTGTAGGTAGTCAGGACAGTATTGAGATTCCCTCTGTTCCACTGCTCCTCTGTGTTGTAAGCCACAGTCCTGATTTTCAAGCAGGCAGTATTTCTTCTTTCTTAGATTCCTTTATTTGTATTTACACCAGGGTCAATTTGTGATTCATCCCCTGGATGGCAGTGTTTCTGGATTGACCTCCAGGGCTATAAGTCCTCTCCAGTCAGTATTTAGATTTTGTTTTCCCTGTCCCACTTAATACTGGTTTGGGAGAATGGACTGCCCCAGAGCTGGTTCTCCGATAGTCACTCCCCAGTTTGGAAGATTGGACTGCCCAAGATTTGGTTCTCTGATCGTTACTCCCCTCTCTGACCCCCAGGTTCCACAAAAACAACTTTCCCCTGCAATCTCTTAGAGCAGTGGTTCTCAAACTTCTGGCCCTTTAAATACAGTTCCTCATGTTGTGACCCAACCATAAAATTATTTTCGTTGCT